TGTAAATATTTATACGCATAAGAGAAATGGGGATACATTAGAAAGTAGGACATAATAAAATATTTTAAATTTTAAAGCTGAAAATAAAGTACTTTTGTTTTAATAACATCGTATTATGGATACATTATATCATCAAATTAATGTGCTGCATGTGTAACACAATAATTAGAAAATAAACATACTATTTTTATATCGTCGAAATTTGTAAAAAATTTTCATTGTCTTTTGTATTTTAATATTTCTCTCTTTCTCTCTCTCTCTTTTGTGTATTCAATAGATTTTTAAGTCCACGAATTATTATGTAAAAGTTATATAAATCTGTACACTTAATTATGTCAATTTTATAATAAAAAAATATCTTAATTTGAAAAATAAAATTTTTATTAAGAAATAGAATATTTGTGTATATATTACCTTCAATTTTCGGGATTCTTACAATACGTATAAAGCTACGAAAAAAATGTGTAACGTTACATTTTATAGTGTAAAGTGATATTTGAGTAAATCCTTATATTTAATATGTTAAATTATAAAAAAATATGTGAAGTTTTGCAGTGTGAAGTGATATTTAAGTAAATGATTCTAATATATTTGATTAATTGATTACATAGATTTAGAATGGGCGATCGGTCTGAACCGTGCATGTTGAAAATTGTCGGTTTGTGGCCGCAAGAGAGCAAAGATCAGTATGAAAAATTACTGTCGAAGCTTCTGTTGCTTTTCAATATCATTATACGCTGATGTTCGTATTGAATATACCGACTTTAATGTCACTAATAAGATTATGGGGCAATATGATACTGATGATAGATAATTTGCAATATACCCTGCCACTTTTGATAACGACACTGAAAGTCTTCATTATGTGGTACAATAAAGAAGGAATTTTATTAGTTTAACAATTTATTTACTTCGAGAGAAATCTTAATTTTAGATTTTTCTCCTTTATTGCTTTATTGGACTTATACGAAAATTCATTCCATATTTTTCGAGAAACTACGAATTTAACAAATATTACTAAAATCCACAAATTAAACAGAAACCGAGTAGACTCTGCTGATAAATTCTAATTGCACATTGGCGACAGACACCGAGTAGGATCTGTGCAACGCAATTTGAAAGCACATTGGCAACAGAAATCGAACAGATTTTTCAAACGCAGTATTATCTCGTATTAAAGTACATTTTTAATTACGCGAACTTTCGTCGTAATTTAAAAAAGAAAATAATTAAATGACGACCTCGTTAAACGTACGAGAAAAATGTGAATTATTATTATTGTAAATTCTGATGAAGATCATGTTACGTATTTGAAATAAACGTTTTACTTTGTATTATCATTTTTAATTACGCGAACTTAAGTTGTAAGTTAAAAAAAGAAAAGAATTAAATAACGACTTCGTTAAACGTACGAGAAAAATAAATTATTTTGTAAATTCTGACGAAGATCATGTTACGTTATTATATAAAATTAATATATTAATAATTACATTTATTAGTAATTAATAGTTACACGTTATTATATAAAATTAATATATTAATAATTTTATATTATATAATTTTTATATGTATAATTATATAAGATATTGATATTCTCAATAAATCTACTCTCGTCTAAATAACGTCTAAAATAACTTTTTTACAATTAAGTGATCGACATAATTTAATTAATCCCATTTCTTTTCTATTCGAGAAATTAATCCCTCAATCCAATTAATTTCCTCAATGATCAATATATGACAAAACATGTTTTCTCACAGTCTGAAAAAATACACAGCGCCACGTATGGTGCACTCTGAAGCCAAAAGAAGCAAAAAATTTGATATTAATTATGCTTCGAACAAAGAAACCACTCAATATTAGAGCGGGAAAAATATTCCCAATGACGATGTCCACGTTCTGCAACGTGAGTTACATATTCGAAACATATAAAGTATGCATAGTATTTTTCTTATTTCACTTGAAACGACAAATAATGATATTCTTTGACATTATTTTACGCTATATAACTTTTTAACTATATATATATATTTCTTTTAAGTTTTTAATGTTACCGTTAAAGGATTAAATGTTTCAGTTACTAAAAACGTCGATGGACTATGTATCCATGTTACTTGCCAATCGAGATTGAGAAAGAACATCGACACAATTAGAGGATTAGATCGACAATTAGAGAAATTAATACGTAGTCGCTTGTTTAGTACATTCCGTTATGATATGAAATTAAAAATAATCTCTTTTCATAAATGTGCTGCGCAAAATTTTGCAACATATATCCGAAATTATGTAAAATATTAAAAATATATTTTCTTTATACATCATATTTCTCTAATATTTTGATTATATGTGTATTTTGCTTGAATGTGATTCAAGTATCGATCCATATATCAACTGTCGATCGCACGGATAAATGGATAACAACAGGATAAATAACATGAGATAATATTTAAGCAAGTATATTTTCTTATTTAATATAAAAACTACTTTTTTATCGTTCTTGCCTGTTTTTGAAGCAGTAAATCTCCTTTAGGTTTCAATTTATTGTTCAAGATTTTTTGTCTCTCTTCCTTTTCCTTTTCTTGCAATCTAGCATGTCTTTCAACAGCATAATCTACCTCTCCTGCTAATTTGATAATCTTTGCCTGAAAATTCACGGAATAAGAAATAAATACATGATTGCATAACACATCATTATGTGATGTGTAAAACAAATATAAATCATTATCTTCATTTGTTTTACAATACATACTGCATATTTGCGTTGTCTTTCTAAACGTGTCTTCTGTCTTATTCCAAGAGGTGTAGGTTTCCCATCTTTAAATGTATAATCTGGCAAATTTGTTAACAGACCAAAGGCATTTGGATTGGTCGTCAATCCGTGTCTGAAATACATTAATTAGACAATTATAACTAGAAATTATATATACATCTATTAATATCATTAAAAAATAGCACTGCATTAAAATCCATATTAATAAATTTGAGATAAGTGATGTAATTCAAACAAACTCTTACGTTATCGTATTTCTTACAAGCTATTCTATATATATAATTATACATTAAACTTGGTTTTAATCATTTTATATTAAATATGTCACACAAAACAATAAATGTTCTAGATAATCTAGATATACTTAACCCTCTACCCGGAATATCAATCATCATGACTGCTAAGGTTCACATTTACATCAGTAGAAAAATGAATAAAACTTGTGTTTTTCTGGAATAGCGGTCATTATGATGGGGTGTTCCATGTAATCGGGTATCCAGGGGTGTTCCAGGTAGAGGGTTAACATAAATAATTTTTTTTAAATCACACCTTTGTCTCCATCTCTGGTTCAAATATTGTACGCAAGACTGATGAAATCCATTAACTATAATATTGTAATCTGTAATAACGAATAATACATATCATCAATAATATGATTACTAGTTGCAAGCAATAATTGATTATAAAAATAATTGATTATAACAAAATCTATTCAATATGAGCTGACGTTGCGTTTTTTTTTTGCAACGCCCGTCACAATATATATATTGAATTGATTTTGTTATGATCAATTATTTTTATAATCAATTGTTGCTTGCAATTAGTAATCATATTATTGATAACGCAACGCTCGTCGCAATATATATCACAGTAGACAACAAATATAATGTACATGTATCCAATGTAACATTATAACCACAATAACTTCTTATTCTTTTTTAATATGTACTAACTTATATGTTGTTCAATACGAAGTACAGCTCTAGCAGTCGATATCATATTTAACATTGTTGTATATCAATTCGACATCAATATTTATCTAATTTCTTCTTACAAAGCCTGTACATGGGTTATGTCACCACGCGCATACAGGTTAAAATCTCGCAGCCAACATTTCAGTCCGCAGCAGTCCGCAGTGATACCAATATAACGTCCGTTCCTTTTTTTTAACACTTCATATTTCATTATTTTTTCTGCGATAAGAGAATATATTTGTTTTACATATTTTAAATGGAAATATCTTTTGAATAGAATATATTTGCAAAGAATAACTGGCTATACAATTAAACTAGACTACAATTTATATATTTGGTACAAGTAAAATTAATAATTAGGAAATCTTTTTAATTTCATTTTTATTACATACAAGTTTTATGTATATTACATATAAATTTATGTACAGTCGTGAACAGATCGGTTGCGACACTTTTTTTTATGGGTTTCTAATATATATTTAATATACATAATATATATTTTATAGGTAGCTAATATTTTGCAAATGCGAACCACAATATAGATTTCTTTAGTCTAGAGACAGTACAACACCAATCGTGGTTCGCATTTGCAAAATATTAGTGCGTTTTGAGATCTATAAAAAAAAAGTGTCGCCACCGATCTGTCGCCACGACTGTACATACATTAATAACTCCATAAGGAGACAGTCAACTATGTACACCTGGAACCCGATATAAAAACTCGCCGTCGTCGTCGTAATAACAGTCGCTGATACGATACGTCATGCCACGTTTGTAGAGATGCTTCGCGATCTTTATCGGCTTAGCATAGTTCAAGTCCGTATCCGTCTTTTTATTCCGCACTTTGATGCCTGTACTCAGCAAATCCTCATCCGCCTCGACAATATTGAAGTTTCTGTCCTTATGCCTGTTAGATACAGTAACATCTCTCTCAGATTTTCGTGCAATTTTTGACCGACTGTCCTTCTCCTCGTAAATTACCGCGTCGCCAGACCCCGCGGCGTCTCCCGCGGTTTGTATCTCTTGACTGGCGTCCACTTGCGTCCTGTACACATTCAGTAGAGCGGTGCCTTCCTCCGGAGACTCCTTGTTTATATCCTTCATTTTCTCCTTTACAAATTGATCGAACGTAAGCGGCTTCTCTCTCCTATTAAATGGCACATCGAGCTTCTGCGAATCTGTACGCGATTGTAGCGCGAGAGATTGCTCCTTATTTAACGTGAATTTATCGAGTTTCCGTGAATCTGCATGCGATTGTAACGCGAGAGATTGCTCCTTATTTAACGTGAATTTACCGAGTTTCCGTGAATCTGCATGCGATTGTAGCGCGAGAGATTGCTCCTTATTTAACGTGAATTTATCGAATTTCCGTGAATCTGCATGCGATTGTAACGCGAGAGATTGTTCCTCATTTAATGGGAATTTATTCGTATTTTTGGCAGCGGCGAGACCGTCGGTCGCGGCACTTGCGGTCAGTAAATTCCGGTTTTCAGAGTGACCGGATTCGTCTATCGCTTTGCTTGTATTGTTTTCTTGCGACAATAATTTTGGATCGTTCTGCTTCTCATCTAGGTACGTCTGTACAATACTGGAGAACAGCTGACTCTTTGGCTTCTTAAATTCCAGCTTAGGGACAAATCGCTCCGCTAACAATTCTCTGTCTGTCAAAATAACTTTCCTGTCCTTGAATTTCGTCAGGTGTTCACTGAGTATGGGACTTAACGGAAGTTTCCCCGCTCGGAATGTCTCCCAATTTTTCTTCACCACACTGTCGTACTCCATAACTCGCTCCACTGACCTTGGCGACCATTTGGAGCGCAAGATCTTCTGTATTGTCCCGGGTAAGGCGGGAAAACTCTCGCTGAGCTTCTCCACTGTCCACTCTTCGGGATTGACTGTGTGCAATTTATGAATCAACTCCCTTTCGGCAAATGTGAGAAAACGTGGTTCTTTGTCTTCCTTGAAATACTTTCGGGCGACAATCTGTTGTTTGAGACGCTCTTTATTGATCTGCATTTCCCTGAAAAAACATCGACGTGTTTTACTAAATAAATTGAATATATTTCATTATAATGTTTTTGCAATTTTCAACAAAATAAAAATGTAGAAAATATCAGATTAATGTCCATTTCTATCAATGTTTTTAATCCAAACAAAAGAAAAATAGAGTTAATATCAGATTAATGTCTTTCTATTAATGTCTTTCTATTAATGTATTTCTATTAATGTTTTTAAGCTCGATTTAACTTATTTTTATCCTCTAGTTTTAAGAATTAGAAAAAAATGATGAGTAAATTATAGTAATTAAAGTAACTAAAATAGAGTTAATTTATACTGACAAAAATGAGCCTAAATGTTATAAACCAAATTTAGGTTAGGTGTGAAGCAAGTCTAAATATAACTGTAAAAAACCAAATACATATTTATATATAAAATTATATTTCAGCATTGAATGCGATATATAAAATCTATATCTTTATATATACCTTTCATGCATCTTGTGGCTCGTGCCAACATTCAGAAAGTCCGCTTCGAATTCACTCACGTCCTCGGCATCGAAAGTGTCAACTGTATTATCCTTGTCAATCGATTTCATTATTTTCTCTTTCTTACGAATACCGGCGAGTGGCCTGGCCGTTTTCCTGCTATACATTCTGCGCAATATCGTGGTCATCGCTCTGATTTCGCTCATCGCGGAAGTCCAGTGGAAGCCCGGCGTGGTTCACTCTCGTGTCTACCAGCCCTAACCTCAAACCTCGAAGAACATAAACATCTGAAATTTGCCGGCGCGCCATCTGAGCTAATTAAAGAGCCATTTTCGAGGTTTAGTTTAGATCTTCTCTCTGGTTTAGACGAAAAAAAAAAATAATAATACGGACGGATCGCTAATAGCCGACGTTTTCATTGAGAACACGTGTGTCATGCGCTGTCAAAATTGGAGCGCGTTTCGATACATAAATTTTTCTCTTATAATATAGGTACCTGCGTTCAAGCTGCGCTTATATGAATATTTATATGAGAATGTGCGAATGAGCGAAGGGATAGAGAAACAAAATGAATCTGAAGTAGAATAATTGGGGAGTGAGCGAGGAACTGTGTTCGTCCATCGATATCAATATGCCCTGTTGTTGTGTCAGAGGATGCCACAATAGATGGGAAAAGGGACACAAGCTCTACAAGCTGCCTCAAGGACCCAACAATGAGGCCAGGCGAAAATTATGGATACAAAATATAGGCAGAACGAACCCACTGCCGCTGCACGCATATGTTTGTCAAGTAAGGATTTTGTGTGTAATTACTTTTGCGTTAGCTCGTAACATTCAAAGATTACAGTTTCTTTTACAGTTGTAATATCAATGTTGGACAAAGTAATGCACATCAGCATCTTTGTGAGGAAATATATCTTGTGGCTGAACACACAGTTCTGTCGAAGGACTCTAGGAATTGAGTTGATATTATCGAAATGTCAGAATATTAACATATCTTATCTTTTTCAGGATCACTTTACGGACGATCAGTTTGAGCTGGGAAGGGCGGACCATAGAAGGCTACTGAAATGGAACAGTGTTCCTACAATATTCCCTCGTTGCAAAGCGCAGAATATTAAATGCAGACGTCCACCAAAACGGGAGGCAATTGTACTTGCGAAAGATGAATCCAGCATGAATTCGCCAGAGAAAGCTACCATGGATGAGAACTTAAATACTGAAATCAGAATAAGAAGAACAGAAGTAAACGAGGAAAGCTGTAATGACGATATCATGGAAGAGAACTTAAATACTGAACTCGGACTGAGAGAAATAGAAGTAAATAAGGAAAGGTGTAAAGACAGTACGGATGAAGTAGTGGCTTTAAAGTGCAAATTGAATGCTTCCCTAAAAGAAATTCATACTTTGAGGACTATTATATTTCAACTGCAGGAAATAATAAAAAGATTGGTAGAGGAAAAACATGTAGATGAAACATAATTGTCCTAGATTTTGCATCTTCAAGATGATGTACAAAAATCTGTATGAGATTGTATATCATGTCAATCTATACAATCAATACAATTAGAGTTTAAAAGAGTTTAAATGTTACTTACTCAAGAGATTTATTCAATGATAGATCAGATATTTTATATGATAGTAATGAATGTATTTGTCTGTTTGATTTATATTGTTACCAAATCAACACTACCTTTATTTTTCACATTATTTCATAATTATTGAAACGAACAAAATATGATTATAATATTGTGACAGCAAGTAGTTTTATTATATAAAATTATTGAAACATAAAATTTATCTTCAATATAATGATCAAAACATTAAATGATATTCTATTTCAATAAATACGATAAATGTAATAGTAATCTTATTGTATATCAAAAGCAATTATATTTGCTATTTGATAAGAACAAAGTGTATGTACAATAATGTAAAAATAAAATCATTTTTTTAAATCAAAATTCAAGATTGAAATATGGATTCCTAAATGGGTTACTATTCACTTCACAATTCCTTCATTCACGACTTTCAACTCTCTAAAATCTAAATCAAGATATAGAGGTATGAAAGTGATGGAGAATCGTGAAACCGCGACTGTGAACATTGATCATTGTCATACGGATAGCCACATGCCCACATATATGTTATTCTAAGTCTAAAAGTGACATTACTATATAATAGCAGATATTAAAGATATATAATAGGGTAATGCTATTAATGTGCCTGTACGTTTTAATGTGCTTTTATATTCAAATAAGTCATAAAAATAAACTGGTACACATTTACAAATAAATAGACAGAGTGTTTTTTTTTTATTAAGTTAATACTTTAACTTAATAAAAAAAACACTATATATTTGTAAATGTCTATTCATTTATAAAAATAAACTGCAGGTACAAATAAATAGGCAGTGTTTTTTTTTATTAAGTTAAAGTATTAACTTAATAAAAAAAAACACTTTGTCTATTTATTTGTACCAGTTTATTTTTATAAGTAAATAGATATTTACAAATAAATAGACAAAGTGTTTTTTTTAATTAAGTTAATACTTTAACTTAATAAAAAAAATACTATTAATTATTTGTACCAGTTTATTTTTATGACTTATTTGAATATAAAAGCACATTAAAAACGTACGTACAGGCACATTAATAGGGACAGTTACCCTAATTTGTCTACACTTATAGCAAAATATAAAAGATAAAATAATAATTATTAACCATTATGGGCTCCTCTAGACGCAGAAAATGCTTGCGCGCGGTAAAATGAGACTGTAACCAATAAACTTCTCTCACGCTCTCACCTGATGTTCGTTCCACGATTTCAATGAGGGCGCGCTGGGCGCGCAGCCTATTTTATAAAATCTATGGTCTTGTCAAACGCAGGAGACACTGGCGAGAAAAATGGCGGATGAAAGCGAGGACCAGTGGCTGTACGGCGATTCGACCGACAGCAAGGAGTTTATATCGGCGAATATTAAATCGGAGATCCAGCAGAATGACTCGACGCTCGCCGAAGCTCAGGAGAGCTCGCAGACCCAGGAGGATCAAAAGGTGGAAGTTGCTGACGAACCGTCCGAGGTGTGTATGCGCGCGACTTAACCTCTCTCGATCGTTTATAATTAATTGATTCCCCGCAAAACATGGAAAGATATCGTACATTTGCTTCGATTTCGAAGATTCAGCATATTCGATATCTTAACGTCTCACGCACGGTCCTTTCCACTTGATGTATGCACGCTTTAATGGTGTTTTAATGGTGTGACATAACCTGTACATAATTTTTGAGCAATAAACATTGGGTGCTTTCCACTTTGTGGCACAAGCCAACACATGGATTGAAGGACGTTTTGTCTTTGTTACTCATTAATGCTAAGAAGGATAAAATGACTCTGTCGTCATCGACTTGCGTCACTAAGTGGAACGTACCTATTTATTGTAGCTCGTAGACTAAGACTCGTGTGTTGTGCGACTTAAAGAAAAGGCTAAAGGCACCTAGCCTACGCTTCAAAAGGAGCTTCAAAAGAATTGAACTTCAATAAATAAATATATAGCTAGAATAAAAATAAACAAGTCCATTATGAGCCATAGTTTGTGTAAATCATATTTTTGTCCTTTTGTTTCTTTCCAAACATTTAGCTTTTTCGAATATTTCGATATCGTTTTTAAAACATACATTTCTTTGTACAGATGCAAGAGGTTACCGATTCCCTCGGCGGCGGTGACGAAGAATCCTCATTGTTGAATAATACGCAAGACGAGAATGCGGACAAAAACGGGACGAGGGAAGCTTCTAGTCAGGAGGATGGCGAAGCGGCCAGCGACTCCGACTCCGACGATGATGTACACGTTGTTATCGGTGACATCAAGTCGACACCGGCGTACGGCAGTTTGAACATCAAGAGAGGAGGACTGCTAACCAACACGTCCGGCGTGTCGGATAAGCTGAGCAAACAGCCGGGAAAGTTCAGCATAGATGAATTCGAGACTATCGGCGTTATCAATGGAATACCGGCCCACGAGTTCAATTTAGATCAATTGGAGGACAAACCGTGGAGGCAGCCCGGCGCGGATATCACGGATTACTTCAACTATGGATTTAATGAGGATACCTGGAGGGCGTACTGCGAACGTCAGAAGCGGATGCGAAGCGAGTCCGGTGTGGGATTGATCTTGAACGCGGGCGGCGGCGGCGGCAATCCGAGTGGCATGAGAATGCCTCAAGTGGCGATAACCAACGACAACAGCAAATACTCTGGCATTATGGGGCCTAAGAGGGCAGGTCCGCCGCCCGGAAGAAAAATGGCGGGGACCATCGACGTTATAGGGAGCTCTGGTCTGGCCTCGAGAAGAAATCTGGATAAATCCCCACCGAAGGGAAACGTTATACAAGTCATGACTGCCGACAGGAGAGAGTATTCTAGGAAACCAGGTTTCCCCGATATGAGCGTACCGCCTCCTGGTGCAGGAATGCCGCCACCGCCGTTCGATATGCCTCCGCCGGGATATGCGGGAGAACCGACGCCGTTCTACATGCCGGAAACCGATCCGTATTATCAGAGTTACGAACCCACGCAGGATAGCCAATGGGGCAATGACCCAGTAAGAATGCAGCATTGTGTAGTATGAATTATTTGTGTGAAAATAATTATATAACATTATATATAGAAATTATTTGAATAGAATTATATCTAATGTTATATAGTTTAAAAACACTGTAATGTATAATATATTATTTTATATATTATAGTTTAAAAACTATAATATGTAAAATAATATAATATAATATATAAAATAATATTAGATAACTTTATTTTTTGCTAAAAAATATTCTGAAAAAATTAATCCAAAATTTTTTTCTCTTTATCAAAGACATGGCAGCCAACAAATCTGGCAATCCCGATGACGGAAGGTGAAGACGACAAAGACATGGGACCTAAGACGATACCCACGATGGTTCCACCAACGTCCATTCCTCCCCTGATGCCGCGCGATCAGAGGGACGTCAGAGACCGGGAGCGAGACAGGGATCGAGACCGCGAATTGGATTCTATGGGCAGAGATAGAGACAAAGATAGAGATCGCGATCGCGATAGGGAAAAGGATTCCATGATGAGAGATCGCGATAGAGATCGGGATTCTATGACGCGAGATGAGGATCGGGAGCGTGATAGATCTAGGTCTCAGTATCGACATAAAGATCGGTAATAATCTATTCTTCCTTTTTTCTAGAATTCTGTATTAAGCTGGTTCTACATTAGTCGCAGCGTCGCAAACGTGGCGATCTAATCAACGTGTCAAGTTAGCTCGACGCTGATTGGATCACAACTGGATCGCAACGTTTGCGACGCTGCGGCTAATGTAGAACCAGCTTTAGACGCTATGTATGATGACATGTCCTTTCTATAATACGTTAATATATATTAATTAATTCTGATATTTTTAGACATCGGCATCGATCAAGGTCGCGGTCTCGCAGACACAAGTCGAGGTCGCGGAGTCCGAGTCGACGTAAGAAGAAATCTAGACGTTCGGATAGGGAGCGTTCCAAGGAGGAAAGTGAATAAAATATGTGTGTACACGTAAAAACCTTACTGTATTAATTTACGGCGTTACTCAAGTGAAGTGCATCAATAGAATTAAGCGATCATTTTACATAAAATAATATTCCGACTGTTGCCGAGAAAAATACATTGCATCAGTAAAATTTACACAGCTAATTGTAAAATATACGAGTTAATTGTCATGCATAAGAAATGTATAGCGATCTTGAGAAAGTTACAAATTATATAATTTTTGACATGAGTAAATTATTAATGCAAATAAAAATTGGATTTGCAGATTGATTGAAGGTTGCGGATGAAGAAAATAAAAGATTTTACGTTTTATCATATTCTCTCTTAAAATCTACCTTTTAGAAATAAAATTTATATATAAATATATATTATATATATATATAATATAATTATATATATATATAATATACATTGGTACGACAATAAATTAGTTCCGTTTTGATTGTAATTAAATTGAAAAATATTTATAATCGAGATATTAATGAAATCTATTTAAATCTGTAATTGAGTATGAGGCTGCGTGCCATTTTAATGCTCACGCGTTGTGAATATGATTTGTCCTTATTTAATGTTTGATAAATAATTTTCGTGATCGTCATGAAAATAATAAGGATAAATCTTTGACTATATAAATATGGACTGCTAGTCCCCCCACTTTTACTATGTAAAAGACATATGCCCGGTGTCGCCGAGCTGAAGTTGGTTGAGGTATCGAACTTCGATTGTTAGGCTCCACCCCAGTCAGTAAAAAAATGTCAAATATGTCAAAATGTATTAAATGTTATGTTGAAAATTGATAGGGAGTCGGAAAAAATTTCAAATCGATGGAAAGAAATGAAAAATAGACTCAGCTCCTTTCCTTTACACGTCGTAAACACGCTGATTTCACAGAAGCCTTCCCCTTCCCCGCAGAAAATTACTGACTGGGGTGGAGTTTACATCTTCCAGCTTGGCGACACGTATGAAGTTAATCACTATCAGTCCATACTTATATAGTCAAAGGGATAAAAATGTAAATAATAAATGCTAAATAATAATAAATAATAAATGTAAATAATAATAATAATAAATAATAAATGTAAATCATAAATGCTGTAAGCGCCAAAAATGTAAAAACACGGAACGCACTACGCGGCCACAGTTAAACATTTGAATATCGCGCTTACGTCGAGTCGAGCGTGGTCGGCGTCTGCTAATACCGGCACTACTGCGCATCCGCGAAATTTCGCTAGCGAAACGAAAACGGAAGATCGTTGAGAAGCGGTTGAAGCACAATTAAAGCAGGTTAAGGATCCATTTGCCCGAGAAGTGAATTAGGTACGTTATTTCCCATAATAATTTATGTGATTTCATAACTGTACTACAGATTACAATCGTTCTAATAATAAGGTTATTTGATCGCGATTTTTATTTGCAATTGATAGACGTCTGCAAAAAAATATGGATTCGTCATGTAGAAACACGATATGTGACTAAAGTATAGGTTATATTTCTGCATGGGACTTATAACGGTCGTGATTGTTTCAAAATGTATAATTTGAAGCATTTTTTCTGAAGATGACGAATTTATTTGTGCATAATATTATCGTGCGTGTCATGAAAATGAAAATTGTCAGTAAAGTTTCTATGTTACATTGATGGTTTATCAGTAATCTCTCTCAATAGTGATACTGAATCTTTTTTTTTTTTTCTTTAAAGAGCGTGTTTCGTTGCGTTTTTGGAACCGAAGATGCCAAAGTCAAAAGAATATCTGTCCGACACCGATAGTAGCAGCAGTGAGGAGGTATTACATTATTTTCACATATTTGTATTAGTTTTCGAAATATTTTACGCTTATCATTCCCCATTTACAGGACGTAAAATCAAAGAAGAAGCAAAAGAGGGACAGAGAAGAAGAGAAAGAGCCGAAAGAGGAGAAGAAACCGGCGAAAAAGGCAAAATCCGAGAAAACAGACGACGATAATATTTGGGACTTGGGTAGCAATCGCCAAGTGAATGTGAGGAATTTCAAAGGCAAATATTATGTCGATATCCGGGAGATGTATTATGACAAGGACGGCGAATTAAAACCTGGGAAAAAAGGTAATATTTTTGCACCGCTGGCTAATTTTATAATTAATCAGAAGAAATATAAAAAGATTTGCCAATAAAATATCTTTATGATTTTTATAGGAATATGCTTAAGTATGCCACAATGGCGAAAGTTCATGGACGTTGTGGAAGAGGTGGATAAAGTGGCAAAAGAAAAGAGTTAAAGTTTCAATTCTTACGAAATGTAATTCAAACATGTGTTTTTTTTCCATTTTACATTTATGATTTTTCCAACGTTAGGATTTTGAAAGTATAATTATCATATTTTTTTAATGCAGATTATAAATAATTCTGTGAAATTCAAGATTACATAAAATGTGAAAGCGTATTATTTGGAAAATGTTCCTATTTAAGAAAACTAAATTTTTGTTGTATATCATTTTATTTGTAACGGAAAAATATTTTATTTGCTATTTTTTTTATATCGAACAAAATGATAAAATTCTGAAAACTAATGACATTGAATCCAGTTTGTTACAAAACTTTGTCAACTTTTTGAAATCATAAATTATAATTTATTGTTTATTTCTAATATACTTTTCATTTTTTGTATACCATGAAGAGTATGGCATGTACCGTACTATTAAAATATAGCAGTTCCAAGTATCAGAACAGAGAAATCCATTACCTCTACCTATGTTTAAAAAAAAGATATGGAGCAACTGCCGTTGTATGTGTTTGACATCTACACGACGAAATCACCGAGAAAAGAACAATCTTCACAACGAGAGAGGTTAATCGTCATACGCTAAATTTCTTTGTCGTAAATAAAGTATACGTAATACTAAGAGACACTTGATTACATTGCGATAATAACGGATTAATTAGATCCGCTTGACAACAGCCAATACGTATGTTGATAAACAAAAAGTTAGCACGCGAGCGAGAAACATCGAGTAGATTCTTGATAAATCCGCGATAATTATTGGTATTTTGGGTAAGTGAATACGTAGGGAATTATTTATTAAATAAAATGTACTCGTTCTTCTGTAGTGGTATTTAGAAATTCACGAAGTAAATATTTTACTCTAAAGCGCTTTTAATCTGGAATTCCACAAATTTGGATAAGGGGTAAAGTTTGAATTAACAATTTTTTTCTTTTTTCCATGAAATCGTTAAATCATCACTTACAATTAATCGAATTTAAAAAAAATTTGTTTCAGAGTTTTGATTTGTCTATAAATATCCGAAAATTGTTTCACAGTTTTGATTTGTCTATAAATATTCAAAACTTCACGCGAAACGCATTATTCCCCGTATCTCTCTCGCGTCCGCTGTGCCCGCAGATAAGCGGTATCTGCGGCGCGGCAACCTGCGGAAGACGTCGGCGCCGACGGCGACGTTTTCAGGACGGTTAGTAGCGGCAGTGACATGGGCAGGAGAGGAGAGCACCGCCGCCGGTGCGGATGAGGTCATCGTATGGTTTTTTAGCCGCGCCGCGCGCCGGCAGTCGCGACGCGGAGCGCCCGAACGCCGGCCGCTGCTGCACGCGTTCCCGCTGCCGCGCCGCCGCCACCGCCGCGCCGCACGCGTTTAGGGTCGCCCGAGCGAGCGGTAGTCCTGCGAGCGAGCGAGCAAAGCGAGCGGGCGGGCGAGCGAGCGAGCGAGCGAAGCAGAGCGAAGGAGCGAGCCCAGGACATGCGACGGCGTGCCACGTGCCACGTGCGTTTCAGCGTGCCCGCAAGTTTACCCAGGTCGTCCTCCGCGCCCGCGGCGGGAGGTGAAATCGGAGCGAACCCGCGGCATTCGTATCGCGCCTCGTCGCCTCTCTTCTCATCCCTTTACAGTTTTTACACGTGTTCCGATTCGGGGAGGAAGGGGGGGAGGGGAACGACCGCGAATGCCGCGTCGGGGTGAATTCCCAAATTCTCGAGTTGAGGGGAGGGGAAGGGGTCCAGCGAGGAGATTCCGCGACATTTCAAAGCGCGAACGCCGCGATCTCTCGATCTCGCGCGCGGTCGACGTGAGATATGCAGAGGGCCCGCTTATATATGAGGGACCGGACGGAAGTTCAATTTGTCTCTATATGCAGGACGTTCGATAATCGATTATACCACATGGGAAAGTGAGTGAGTCCTGTCACGTGGCAAGGTGTTCTGGCCGCGAGGATTAACACGCTTTCGTCCGAAAATAGTCGGGAAGTAATGCTGCGCGTGCAGCGATTGATCTCGATTGATAGGCTTTTGCAAAAGATATATCCTTGCGAATCGAGAACGAATTAGTTCGGGCGGGAAACGGACCACTTTCCGACTCGGCCGATTGTCGGTTCACTTTATAGCATTTCATTTCTTCACACGGGCACTCTTTGTATTTATCCGTAATTCGGCGTCGCTTTCACGAGAAACGTGCGCGTTGATAACAAGCTGTACTTTAGAGATATTTCTGCCTCTCCGACGAGTGTAATTTGCATGTAGTGAAGACTTTCTTCGTGGTGACTGTCCTTTCTATAATCCCATACGATTATTTTCACAATGCACAGCTGTTGCGTGGTACATGCAGGACGCCGTCACGCATGATAGTCGTATTCGCGTTACCTGGCGTGTCGGAAACCGGGAATTGAAACCGGTACGATATTTCGGTGAGTTCACGTTTCCACGCCATATCGAAATATGACGGTGTAATCTCTATATTTAACTGCAAAAATTGACGTAAGAATATACGTTTTCTACATCTCTTATCTATGTATTTTCTTATCTTATCTTACATAACGTCGAATCTGTGTCTTAAAAAACTCGACTCGTCGAAATTATGTTTGTGTTCTCTTTTTGTTATATCAGTATTACATAAATTTTATAGCAATTCAATTCAGAGTCATCCCTTGTTCGTTGACAAAGTGCAACATTAATTTCGGCTTGCTCCTAGCGTGCAACATCCAGAACTCATCGAAATTACGAATAGTTTCGATTGCCGAACGTGATTCCATGCGAAAGAAAACGAATTGATTTCGGAGCGCCCGTTTCTGACTTCGGCCGTAGAAGAGCGGATTTGAAGTTCGGTCAGCCGCAGCGTTCTTAAACCTGTTCTGTACTCCCCCTCAGACATCGGATACATCGACGGGTTTTCGAGCAGCTGAAGTATCCGAGAGCGTGTCTTCCTGAACGTCTTTCGCGCCGGGAATCTCTCCTTTCAGAATCCTCTCATTAGCCATCCTGTAATCGCGGATGACTTATTTCGCGCTTCTGGACGTGATTTTTCTCACAAACGTGTAACGCGCGTCGACGCTTAAATGTGTCGTCTTAACATTTTCGTAATGCATAAAGAAATATTGACAAATTATTTCGGAAATGTTTATACAATTATCTTTTGCGCGTTTACTTAATTCATTTATAATTAATACTTGGAATATCATTTTCGTTTACGACGATAACACAGGGAGTAGGACATTAACTTCATCACATTGGAAAAATCGCGGTAGTGTGTTTGCGTTAATAAGGCTAAAGATATATACGAATGTAACAATAAAAAGATAATTGGATTTAAGCTGACAACAGTGATTGTTCAATGTGTTCCGAAATGCCGACGATGACACATCGTAGTTTGTGGATGGATAAAGATCTGTGAGCTTTGCGTGTACTGCACGTATTTCACGATAAGCGGTTAAAAATGTCTCTGAGAAACGATAAAAAAAGAACAACAAAAAATATTGCTTGTAAGCTACATGATAACAATTTTATAACAATATTATGTAATACCTATATATAAAGAATTTAGATAATTGTTAGCAGACATAATATAATTCCTTTTTCATAATATATAATCCTATTTAAAATAAGATAAAACAAAATATTACTGATAAAACAGAGTTAAAAAATAAATCGGATTATTAATGATACAAAATTGTATTTTTAACAACGTTACTAAATACTAAATCATATTTGAATTATTGATAAAGAAAAGGGCACATTTGTACATTTTCAATTTCTTGCTTAATTAACTGTATTTTCAAATAGCTCCTCCTTGTATTGCACAAGTTTATGCTTGAAGAAAAGTTACGTAAGATATATAGATTTTAACATTACACATGTCAGTTAGAAAAAAATATGGTCACTTGAATTTGATGAATCGATTATCCGTTGTGTAATCAGTATGAATAAATTATTGTTAGAAGACTCGTTGTTAGAACGATTCATCACGTTCTAGCTTCAGTCTTTTTACCGTTTTTTTTTTAACGAGATATTATGAAATAATTGTAGAATTGTAAAAAGAGAAAAATAATGCTGCAAAGATGAGGTTGATGATAATATAGAAAAAACAAAATTATAACCTGCGTGACATATAAATTACTGTAATATACTGACGCATAAATTTGAATGAACAGACACACGTATCTCCTATCTCGCTGTTCTCGTAATACGCATTATTTATTTTAGTAATACACTTCTCTTCCTCACGCCTCTTTTTTTTTTTTGTCCACTTTCCTGCATACTTAATTTCTGCGGGGTCGGCGTGAAAACAAACGCGTGCCCCGAGACAGCACGTGCTCGCGTACGTCGCGGCGCGCATGCGCGTCCCCGAGAGACGTACGTCGCGTTTCAAATCTCGCGTCCCGCAGACGGAAACGCGCGTTCCTCGCTCAAATGTCGCGACGGTGTCCTCTCCTCGACGTCTCCGGCCGCGACGGCAGCGATTCGTTGCCGGGCACTAATATCGCTATACCGTGCAGTTAGCCGGATCGCGGATCTACCGCGTCGGATGTAGCGCGGCGGGTGCGGATTCGCGAAATCCTCGCGGATTCATATACCGTGCGTGAGTCGAGCGTCGCTCGATCGTTCCGGCGACGACATGACGCGGATCGGAGTGGAGTTCATCGATGCCGCGAACTCTCGGCCGCGGAGTGAAAAGTGACGCCGGACAGTTGTGCTCTCTCTCCGTTGCCGATCCCCGACGGTGGACGGACAGAATTGAGGAGACTGCTGCAGTGAATTGATCTAACATCCAGGTGTGCCAGCCCATCGGAAGATGAACGGCGTGCAACGGACTCCGGTCGAGGCTTTCGACATTAAGGTTAGGCTGAATTTTTCTCTTTTACTCTTGCAGCGCATTCGATTTGTTGACTCCACCCGACTCCGAGTCAATAGTCTGTTCCTTTTAACTGCGTTTCTTGCACAGTTTCGCTATTCTTTTATAGCTAAAACAAAAAACCAGACCATCAACTCGGAGTCGGGTTGAGTCAACAAATCGAAAACCGACAGTCTAAAACGCTATTAATCAATCTCTTTTGAATGTCACGCTTCGCGAGAATGATTGCTCAACATTCGGCTATACAATTAAAATATGGTTATTAAAATTCACTAAGCTATTCCTTAACAAAAACAACTTTTGAGTTTCACGCTTCACGAGAATGATTTCTCAATATTCGGCTGTACAATTAAAATACGTTTATTAAAATACACTCAGTTATTCCTTCACAAAAACATATTTATACGTTTTACTTTTATAATGTCTTCAGGGTACCGATCATACAACTTTTTTTCTGAAAGTGAAAAATTTCTTCATTAACTTCGACGGTGAAAATTTTCACGTTTCCGCCCTAGGGAAAAAGTTACATGATCAATACCAGTAAGCCCTGTATAATAGGGAATCTCAGGCAGTAAACAAAAACTTATTTGTAAATTTGTATTCAATTGAAAAATTTCATTCTCGTAAACGTTGTTTAAAATGTAGTCTCCTTCCGTTTTTTTTTGTAATGTTTTTTAAAAGAAAATGTGTAAAACAATAGCGAGTATCAGTAAATTTTTTCTGAGATTCGCGCAGTTGATCAGTTATTATTCTAGTTCGCGAGCTGCACGCTTTAGCATACTTTTATTGATCGGGATGTGCTTATTTGTTTGCACGCAATTGTATATTTAGCTAACCCACATCTGCGCATCTATTTCAGCCTGTCCAGATCTCTAAATTGCATTATCCTTTGAAAATTGCAATTTTATGAAACCACAGTAGATTCGTTACTGTTGTGAAGTAACTTATAAAAAAGTTTCCGAACAAAAATAATGAACTACTTTAGTGTAGAAACTTGTCTAGAAAACTCTATGCAGATACGAGAAACCTAGATATACTCTTGCTCCGAAATCGCAAGGTCACGTTTGTCGCATTTGTAAAATACCTACCACGACGGTATGAGATACCGTATTGATTTACGGAAATTTAAATTCACGTGAAATAAGCGAAATGCAGAACAGCGGGGGTCGCGTGTTAAAATTTCAAGGGGTACGTGAGGTCAAATCGAAAGCTTCCAGGAGAGTATTTTTCCACGGCGCGGCGCGACTCCACTGAAGGCTCGCGCCTAATGGATCGAATCGATGCGCGATTTGAGTTTGTGCAAGGTGCATCGTGTCACACGTGTGCAATACGATCACGATGACCGTGGCCTGCGTAACCTAGTACCTGCGATGCCCTTGAACCGGATTGTTCCGCGCTATCCGAGAGTAACACCGTCCGTCAACGGTGTCGTTGAGCATAGAGATAATGTGTATCTACACACACCGCGTCCCTTTTAACACGCATCTTTTCCAGTAGATGGTTAATGACGTTTTCTAATCATTGCACATTACGCCGCAATTAACTGAAAATTTCTCTAACATTTTATGCCTTTAATTACAAGCGAATAATTTTCATTAATTGTTATTTCGTATTGAGATGAATTATATGAAGAAATACTAATTAAAACGATAAAAATTATACGAGAATTATATGAAGGAATGCTAATTAAAACGACGAGAGTACGAGAACATACTCGATATATTAACTAACACTTTCGGAGCAATTTCCTTTATTAGATAGCAGAAGAATTAGAATTATTGTACTCCTCATAAGTTTTTTAATTACGCACATGTGTAGTAAAATTTTACATATAACGTATTGTTCTTAAACTTATAGCTTACGTACGGCGTATTTCTTTATCTGGAGCTAGATGTATTATTTAACAAGTGACCTTGGCTGAGTTATATATGGAACTTTACTAGCATCTTAACAATGCCTGATTTTTACAATATCAGGCATTCTTTATGCTCTCTGCGCTATGCCATGCAAATTTCTAAATTATAGAGCATTCCGACCAACTATATACTCCTTGCCTATGTCCTGATTATGTGCTCAGCTTATTAAGCGCGAGAACTTTTGATTTCGGTCGGCTCGTCCAGCAAAATGGCACAACGCTCTTTTCCAGCGGAACATTAAATCGATCGCGCTTAGATTATATCCGCGACCTCGCATGCCGTGTATAACTTCGTGCAGCGCGCCATACGGCACTCCATTCTCATCGAGGACAATGTATTTACGTAGTTTTAAAATCGTTCGTATTTGCTGAAATATCATTATCGTGTCATTACCGTCGAGTGTCTTTATCTCTATTATACACATGCGCATCTATTTCGGCCTGTTATTTACGCGTCGCGATTAAGACCGCATCGATAAGATTTCCGTAAGTTAATATTTCGATGCTGTATAGAGACACGAAAATGATCTCTACGCTTCGTCACGATGATGAAAAAATGATTAGCCAAACATAAACGATATGAAACATAAATAAATAATGAAACGTAAGTGATTAGATTTATGTTATTTTAGTTACCTCATATAGTTCATTTTTTTAATTTATTTTTAGAAATCGTGTATAATTATTTTTGACAAATTCAATTCGTTGTATATCTTTCGAGACTGAGAATTATAATTATCTATTTGGTTGAACTACATTTCGTTGTATTTTCGGTAATTAGAATGAAATAGGCACATAAAGAATTTGAAAAAAGCACATAAATTTTGAGGAAGACAAAATTAAAATATACAGCAAAACCAATAATTATAAGGATAAAAATAAGCGGATCTAATGTTTTCATTGTGAATGTTCCCTTTGATATAAGTCTTACAATGAGAAATAAATTCACTGCTTGCGAGATCGCTGGACAACTTTAGCTTTTGCGCGGGCGTCATCCGAATCCGAGATGAATCTCTGCTAATCTCGGTTCAACGCGAGATTCAGCTACGAGCGAGAAAGGAAAAACGGAGACAGGTGGAGCGAACAACGCGCCGGTTTCTCGCCGCAAAATCGAGCCGAGTTCACCCACTTTCCTTCGGTCTATCCCTCAAGGTAGCCAGCGGCGGAGAGCATATTACCATTCGGTAATCTGCTCGCGTGTGCGTGCGTGTGGGTCGAACGTAACGTTTAATTAGGTGCCTTAACGCGCGACGTGGCCGGTGCACTGATGTAATGCGATATCTATGGCGATAGAAATAAAGGCTCATTCAGAATTGCCACGTCGTTGACCCTTCCTTGAGCGTTGCATGATTTTGACGCATTAGGAACAACAATCAAATATGTATATTCAGTTAATGATAAAAGTATTGATAAAAGTATCCCCTTCTCGAAAATTATTTTGAAGAAAATAATTTTACACGACACTAATAATTTTTTTTTAATTCTACAGATAAATTTTCAAAATATGAAATCTTAAAATATTTTTCACTTTCTTCAAAAACAGATATTCAGTTTATGAATAAACGAGATACTTTGTTCATGTAATTATATAAAATGCTTACATGATTTTACATACAGTGTAAAGCGATATTTTAGAAAAATATCTAGACCATTCTACATACAGGTATAGGAAAATAATTAACAAGCAACATGAAATTGTTATGAATGTAAATTTACGATAACAAAATTATATTGATTTTGTTGTTTTGTATAATACAATACATCGAAGTTTGTGCAACATGAAAGAGCACGTGTCAACTTCAACAATAATCGATTTTAATAATGCAGTCTTTAATAATGCATTTAAAAGTACTGTTCCCTTTATATTTTACATTTTCGCTTGTATATCGTCAGTCATGTATATATATGTCACACTTGCGACACATCTAATGGTATATCATACACAACAAAATTATAAATTCAGAATAAATCACATCTGGCTAATACAATTTTAATAATGGCGTCAAATGACGCATAAAACGACAGCTGGATAGAAAATATTGCATCGAATGCACGTTTGGATAGGCGTAGCATTATTAATCTCAATCGAATCAAACTGATTTATTGCATGACGAAAGGCGAGTCGGTGAAATAATAATTTCCGAGCGTCGAGTCGCGCGTCGCGTCGTCTCGAATCCATGTGCTTAACGCGCTTAAACAACTTTTTCCCGCGCGCGATTCCCATTTACGAGTTCGTGACGGATACACCGCGAAATTATTTTAATATTTTACCGGAACGTGCTCGTTATCAATTTTGGCCGGATGGTATAACGACGTATTCTCACGTGGGATTATGCTAATTTCCCCGGAACAGGTAATTATCACTTCTTGGGTTTCACCGCTTCTTCTCACGTAAGATTGTAGTGCGATCCTTTTATCAATTCATAATTTTTTTTTGTTCTTAAAATAGTGCTGTCTCGCGGAAGTGGGGCGTGATATTTACTGTGTAATGCAAATATCGAGCGACTTGAGCAGAATGATAGATAGAATGATAGATGATCGAA